CACACATACCCAGCCCCCCCCACACCCTCTGCCCTGATTCCTGCACTCCCCACACCCCCTGCCCTGATTCCTGCACTCCCCACACATACCCAGCCCCCCCTCACCCCATGCCCTGACTCTTGCACCCCCCCACCCTGAGCACCAGGTTGGCAGCGGGCTGAGTGGGGCCAGCAGTTGGGACCCCAGCTGGCAAGGGGCTGGCAGCCAGAACCCTAGACCAGCAGCGGGCTGAGCCGCTCAGCCTGCCGCCGCTCTGGGTTGCCGGCCCCGTTCAGCCCGCCGCCGGTCTGGGGTGCTGGCCTCAGCCCCTTGCCAGCCAGGGTTCCGGCCGCAGGCCCCGCTCAGCCCGCTGCTGGTTTAGGTGAACGGAACCCCAGGCTGGCAGCGGGCTGAGCAGGCTGGCGGCTTAAGATCAGCATTTTAATTTAATTTTAAATGAAGCTACTTAAACATTTTGAAAACCTTATTTACTTTACATATAACAGTAGTTTAGTTATATTATATATAGACTTATAGAGAGAGACCTTCTAAAAAACGTTAAAAGGTATTACCGGCACGCGAAACCTTAAATTAAAGTGAATAAATGAAGACTTGGCACACCACTTCTGAAAGGTTGCCGACCCTGATCTAACTCAGTGGTTCTCAGCCAGGGGTCCAGGGCCCCCTGGGGAGCCCTGAGCAGGTTTCAGGGGGTCTGCCAAAATAAACCAGAGAGCAGGGTCGGCGTTCAACTCACTGGCCCCAGGGCAGAAAGCTGAAGCCCCTGCCCAGGGTTGAAGCCCAAGCCTGAGCAACTTAGCTTTGCGGAGCTGCCTGTGGTTTCAGACCCTGGACCATTTGCCCTGCTTGCTACCCTTTAATGCTGCCCCTGGCTTTTAATCTCCTGGATATGCAGAAAAACAGTTGTGGCAAAGGTGGGCTGAGGAGTTTTTATAACATGTTGGGGGGCGGGGGGGCCTCAAAAAGAAAAAGATTGAGAACCCCATATCTGACTTGAGTGTCTCTGACTACATCTGTGGCAGTCTGTCACAGGGATAATCTCTTAGGTAGGTCTCAGGCCATTTAGGGCTTTGTAGGCCATAACCAGCACCTTAACCTCTACATCGACATCAGTAGGCATCCAGGCCCCATCCTGAAGCATTGATGTCTTGTGCGCTCAGCAAGCAAGCTACCACATTTTGCATAAGCTTGTCTACAAATGGTTTTAAAAGTATAGCCCCCATAGAGCATATTGCAATAGTTTAATTTTGAGGTAACAGACATAAATAACACTGGCAATATCTATATCTGAAAGAAAAGGCTTGGCACAGATCATAAA